GTGCTTCGACTGTCATGTGCTTTCATGTAAAATCTTTGGAGAAGTATTCGCACAACACTAATTATTCTATTCCGAGAGGGAAGCATTTCATTGAGAAAGAAGGGTATTTTAACTATTTATTCCGATCATGTAAATTTTACCGTGAGGATTATAAGAACCAATATTTGGATACATTTCCACGTGCACAACGAAGCGTTCCAAGCATACGTGATGGAGATGGTAGGTAAAGAACATTAGAAATATGGATATCAAAAGAGTAAACGAAAATTCACGTAGGTCAAGCAGAAGACAAACTTGAACATTCATATGATATAGTAGTGGGTTTCTTTTTCCTGTTACCAGTGTGTATGGGATACAATTAAATGAGTGCTGTATAATTTAAAACGACGTACCACACTGTACGGTGCGCGATGATCATCTCGTAACATACAGTTCAAAATTGGCTCNCCAACTGAAAAGCATCCACAGCCATTGCTTCGCCAGAAGCTTCGTAAAACAATCGTCGTAATCGAGGCTGCATTACTTCAAAATGACTATCGGTCTCCGGTCCGTTGGCTGCCAAACCGGTCAGTTCGACACGTTCGAGGGCGGGTCTACGGACAGGGAAACAAATAAACTTTATCTTGACAGAAAAATCAGCTGTTGTTAAAGAATGTTCTACAATGTTATCCAAATACGTGTATTACAGACAGATTCGAAAAGCCCACAAACGAATTTGAGATAAGACATGGAAATATTTCAATTGTCATACACAATGCGAATCTTTCGAATAATTCTTTGTTCGAGGAAAGACGTTTGCCCAACGTGAAAAACAAAATAAAACGGAAGTAAAACGGGATCCAGAATAGCCGTTAAATCAGCAAACGAACAGTGAATATTGACAGGATGTCCCAGTTGAAATTTGAAAGCATTGGACTTAGAGTCTCATTTTGTCTTGCCTCACTTTGCATATCGGTTATGGTTGGGAGTACTTTGTGAGGATTCCACCGACACGAATTCAAAATTAATAAAACCCATCGGGTTGATGGAAATTAATGGACATTTGGATCTTCAAGAATGCAGGCCACCCCAGTCTGAGCTTATAAGAAAGTACAATGGAATTAGAATATCATGAATTTTCAATGGTCATTCAATGCGCAAAGACCAACTCACGCGTCGTAGTGGCAGAAAGCCGGCATCCTGCAAGTGAATTATGAAACCGTGTGATAGCATTTTTTCGTTCCTGTTCCGTGTTATCCCTGAGCCATCAGACCATTATGGCCACTCGAAAAAACCTAGATATATTCTTCCGTTTTTGCCTCTGCTCCCATTCGCTTCGACGGAAACGCCCTTCCTTCTTCACATCCTCCTTCCGAACCTTTCTTTGTTCCGAAACTAGCCGCGTGAAATGTCCGCTCAGCCTTTCTTGTGCTTGATACATCGAATACACGAGGGTCTGAAGACAATACATTTTTTCAATTGATGAAGGATGCACAAGAGCTAACAATATTTTGCTGTTCATTCAAACTATTCCACAAACCTGCTGGAAATTTCCCCCTTTTTCAAATATCCAACGGTGATGACTACCCTACTGATTAGTCATTGTTGCATTTTTCTGTTCCCAGTCCTTCCTCCAAGCATGGAAACCGCTAAACCGAATCAACAGCTGACGTATCTATAGTGGCTCATAGTACAGTTGACAAAGACATAAGTCAAATGGAATCATATGTTTGTATATTTCACACTTCTGGTCCTTCGCGATGAACGATGGTGACAAATCACATGTGATGTTCCTCGATATTTGAAAATCGTTCACAATATAATTGTGAAATTAAGTAATGGATTAAGTATCCTAATATATAAACTCAATTTAGGCTTGCTTTATGCTACTTTGAGTGACACAGAACTTATGATATACATAATGGAATTAAAGGAACAAGGAGTCAGAGTACAGTAGACCTAGAGGAATTATATAGCAAAGCCGCTTAGAAAAAATTCATCAGCAGTGCTTTGTATTCGTTTGCTATATGTTTTTAGTTTTCCGAAAGCGAGCATGATTTCAACAAGTGGAGGTTCAAAGTGTAGGTATCAGTCGAAACATCCTCAAGATAAATTTACGTATGGCTTCTATGTGTCATGGTTCTCGTCGGAACACCGATTAAAATCACAATCAACTTTTGAAGTTGTCTAACGGTAACTTTATTTTTGTCGTGCAATTCACCGATAAATAAAGTGCTGAACTACAAATTTGGCCAGTCAAGATTGACGTTTATGTGACTGCATTTGCATCAAGTGACCGATGATTGAAAATTTGGTTTCAGCGTTTACTCGTACATAACCAGACCAAACCTAAACGACTAAAATATGCAGGCTGTGAGAAACTGTTATAAAAAATGACTTCTGAATGAAAACTAAGTTCTCTATTCTACCCTCACCGTCAGACATTGTCCCGCACACCTGCACTGTAAATCAAAGAGGAAAATATGATTTCCGGTGAACAATAAATCGCTCGGGGGAAAAAATAAAACAGAGCCAAATAGACAAATAAAAAGGTTGTAAGGAGGGAAGTGGGGTCCAAAGTGAAAAAAAGTGTGGTGAGATATTCTGAACCAATGCGTGGACAACCAAGAACGTTTGTTTACGATGTTAGACAAGTGTGTGATACAGGTTCAATGAGTAAATAAAACTGTTGAAAGGAGGTTTAAGGTAGAAGAAAGAAGGGGGGGTTATGTTACCATACCTCAAATATATATAGCCAACTTTAGGCACCCTTTGCCATCTCCAGTCTAGAGCGAAAAGGATGCCCAATATCCCATTCATTTTCAACTATCATAAGAGATGTTCAACAGTATGCTTCATCCGATTGAGTAAACGGTGGAGAGAAAATCCTCTTAGGGGAAAAGCTACTTTCCTTTGAATGCAAGTGACACGGCTTTGCTAGGGAATTGAGATATCTAAATACGGTATTCGTTCAACACCATCCTAATGCAGTGTGCTTGCACAAAACTGGTAGGAGCCTGTGCTGTCACTCGCTCTCAGTGTTTATCAGCTAGAAATACCCTAGAACTATAAGTACCTCTTGGCCTTGATCGCAGTACCTAGTTTGAGGGGTGAGATCATACCACAAATAACGAAAGCTAGGGTTACTTTTGCCAAACTATGCTACTTGTAGTGACACCCTGACACCCGACTTGTCTTTAATATTGAGTGTAAGTCGCTACAATCTGTAGTATCAAACACAACGATTGCGAAAATTGGTGTCTCCGCGCTGAGTATACTACTCGATTTTTAGTATTGGCTTAAGGGAAAACCTCATGTTAGTAATGGTGAGGTGCATCGTTGTTTGATGGGTGCTGATCGATTTTGGCAAGAAGATCATTTCGTTCTACTCCGGCTTCGATGATTCATTTGTAGTTTTCTGTATATCCGGCCACTTCTCCACGCCATCTGCAAAAATGCTAAATAAAGCTTGCAGACGCGGTGGCTAGCCTATGACTTGACGAAGAGCTAAGAAATGGTTGTCTACAGTTTGCTTTCATCTGGTGCACAAATTATTCCCAAATAGGAGCTAGGGATGGACAGGGAAATTTTTTAAGGATATCCAAGTACGTTGCAAGTTATTCGGGATACTGTGAGAGCTGCTCCGGCACCCCGCCTCACTCTAACTTGAAAAGAAACAGACCAAGTGAACCGACCATGGATGAAGTGTCATTTCGCATACAAAAGGCTCGGTTAGCAGTTGCCAACTTGAGACATCTGTGGCACTGCCGTGATATCCGGCTGTCTATGAAGGATCGAGTATAAGCTGTGGAAGTTCGGCGAGTTCTGCCATGAGGGTATGAAAACTCCGGATCCAGAGACTCGAAGTGTCAACGGGTAATCAAACTAAGATCTGCTCATATAGGTCACGTTGGATGGAGACGTCAGAATCATTGCAAATCACGCTTAGAGACATGGAGTGATATAGCTGAGTGTCTTAAACAGTGGGTTTCGTGCATCTTTTCGATTTCTTTGCAACCTTTGTCTTCTGAGATTCTCCATTTGCTATTCGACTTTACTTTCCACTTTTCTGTCATTCACCTATAGCTTCATACAAATAGACACCCAAAAGCCTGCAACAAAAACTGGCGAACAAAATTGGATCGTTATTGGTTGTACAAAGTGAAGCAGAAAACCCTTTGGAGATGCTGGAAGAGATAGCTCATGGGTGTGGATGATGTACCATCTACTTGTTCAAATCCAAGGATCAGAGAAGCAATAAGACGAAATATCAGAAAGGATGAACCGAAATACCCAATGAATGTTGGTTTTCACCTTATCATTTGTAAACTGTCATTTCTTGTTGCCTTCCACTGGCACTATGCTTGCTTCCTAGTAATAAGCTTGTTTCGTGNCTGGCTCAAGATCAAATGCATCCAAGGTATAATGTTCCTAATTCCTTTAAAAACAATTATGCGAATGGCTTTCTGCTGTTTCATCAGTGCATTCGTCATGTGCTCCGCCTGACTGTAGTCATGTTGCGCACCCTACGTGGTCCTAAGGCGTACGTGTTTCACGCAATTGCGAATCATGGTGCCGTTTGAGCGACTTATGTTTGATTTTGGATAAAAAGGCCACAAACCCTTAGGATCGTCAGGAGTAACTTTTTCGGTATGCAGATAAGCTGTTTATTCATTTTGTCGTGTACAGAGCAAATGAAACATGAACTGAAACGCTGTGAAGTGCTAAATAGCTATTTTGAATTGACTGAGTTTCACCAGAAGTACCAATTCATCCACTCCAATGGGGTATAGCTGCCCAGACAATTCTATAACTGCCTCCTAAGAGCCGTGTCCACATCCCCTGTAGTGAAAATTCAGGCTTCACATGGCCCGGGATCATAAAATACAGTGGAAAGGCCTTATCTAAGAGATTTCGCAAATCTTAACTGAAAATTACCAATCCTACGGTGTATAAACCTGATCCAAAAAACCTGGACATGAAGTTAGTGGTTTGACCGGTCAACTGGGTTGGTTACAGCTTGACCACGACACCGTATGGTTTGACCAACAAGACACCGACCCTAACGGATTTTGAATTAGTAACAATGCCCTCCCCCGCCGACCGCCTAAAGTTTTCTGTCAAGTACATTTTTCTAGGTGCTTGTGTTGAACCTCTGATTTAATAATAAGATGGCCCATAATACTTTCAAAGGGGAACAAAAGGCCCCCTAATGTGTTCGCTACTGTTGCCTTGTCTTTATTGTTTTTCTATACCTGATTCAGAGAGAGGGGCGGCCAACTAATAGCAAAAATAATGCCGGAGGGGTTTGATGATGGGCTCGATAAGTCAAGTCGGACAAAACTCACTCGCACGTTCTGTCTCCGTGATCGAACAGCACACGGAGCAAAAAGTCACCGGGATGATCCGGTGCATACGTGCACGGAATGATGAGATACTCGCCCGGAAGCAATCGCAATCGTTTGACCACCTCGCGGGAATCGAAGAAGAAATCCACACTGGCGATATGGTGATTGGACTCGAAAAACGCCCGAGGCATTGGGGGATGAGAACCGGATGGAAGCTGGTGAAAGAATGGAAAATGATGCCCATTTATCTTTGAGGTAGGACTAAGAGACACGATCAGAATTGTCGCGATTTCACGAAATTTGAGATTCGTCAAGTTCCCGCTTCTGCTTATTTCCATAATAGAAAACAGTTAACCCATACCAATTTTGATGTTCCTCGTCACAATATTTCCTGTTGTTCTATAGAACACGGCTTGTACAGTCAATTGAAGGGGATTTTCCATCCACCAATAAGTAAACTAATTGATCGATGAGACTCATCGGTAGACACAAAGCAGTTTGTTGTGAACAGTTTGTCATAGAAATACAGACGCACGCATGAACAGCACCAGTCCATATCCGTAAAACATCTTTATCTGTGGGACATGAAGTGCCATCGAATGCATTTTATTCTTTCTTTATTAAATAGAGATATAGCTGGGCGGGCTGTTCCTTGACAACTTTAGAAAACTTGAACGAGGTTGTTTAGCCACCATATTATCTAAAGCAGGTAAATGACCTTTGTATCTGTTGGCCACTGAAAAATAGCAGAATATTTTAATTATAACCTTGGCCTAGAGTAGGGAATTCATGATCCCCCTGGTATTCTTATCGTCACCATTTCTATCACCAATTTCTTCACTGTCAGCACCGACATAATCGCGACATGCAATGGTCACCTGTCAATGCAGCAATTATGTGTAATTTTAGCTTTTCCGACTTTGATATAGTACCACATGGAAGTGGATTAGAACATGGCTAAAACAGTAACATCAGTAGCCGTCAGTAAATGAAGTTTGACGCGGGAGATCGGCTCAGTTCTTTAGCATATGCGGATAGACAGAACGAATAAAACGCAACGGATGCAAGTATTTAGTGACACAATTAAAGAATGTGCGTATATATATACGACAATTGATTTGGATGCGCCAAACTGACAGACCCGACCCAATGACAGGTTAATGTTTGCGGTTAGCTGCGTTTTTTCACATCGCTAGACAAAGTTCAACACTGCTGTCAGATTTCGTGTACTCAGCTCCCTAAACGAACAGAGTTGCTAACTAGCATCTGCGTGTCATCGTTTTTTCTGTATCACCATATTACGTTGTATTTAGTCACTAAAGGGCCAAGAAAATTGGTCAAAAAAATGTTAAAATGCAAGCGCTTGTTCTACTGCTTTGTTTCGAGCACCAAGTGTTCTGATTTCAGTGTCGTTTGTGGTACAAGCTTGTCCATCGGAAGAATAATCATAAATTTAATCGTAGCGCGTTAGTTTCGGTCCGGTACAAGACCCGTCACGAAATTGTCCTTATCATTGGTGTCTTTCGGAGATAAAGGCTAAACACAAGTAAAGCCAGGATGAGCACCATACATGAAAGGTCCTAGATTCTATGAATGAAAGTGACAATCAGCGAAACCGTACGGTGCATCGACGCCTGTAATCCCCTTTGAAAGTTGCAGTATTATCGGGTGTGGGCATTATGACTTATCAACTTTGCTTGTACCTTGCGAAATATTCCTTTACAGGACTGAGCACCTTAAACGTCTCTGCAAAAAGCCAATGTTTCCGCTTTCATGTGGCGGATTATTTTTCACACCAAACTCAAAGGAAAATTCAACATGATCAACCATGATTAGGTTGATGAACCACCAGTAATTCAATTAAGATCAGAAAAACCCAAACTCTAAACCAACCAACAGTAAGTATATAAAGCACTTTACCGCTTTCACGTTTACGACAATGGTCATCAGCTTCATTGGGTACTTTGGATGTATTAGACCATTTAAAGGGCGCAGGAATAAATGAAATTACTATCATCCTCTCAATGGTTTTAAACAATATATATATATATGATAATTCAATTACCAACACCAAAACGAACCTGCTAACCTATTTGAATAGTGCTTATTGATTTTCATTTTAGAACATGCCGTCACAGTGTTCGACTACTCCGGAGGGAGAACAAACAAAGCGCTAGGATATCGCTCTGTTTATTCTCTGTGTCCTGGTCCCTAACAGATAAATTGGAATGTAATTTTTGAATAACCGCACAAGGAAATCAACTCATCCGATATTCTGTTAACCTGAATTTGACCTGAGGAAGGTTAGTTGTTCAGTAGCACCTTCTGAGCACACACAAAAACAAACCATGTGACAGAAAAGACATGGTTAGCTCGCTGATTCGTAAATTGTTTGAGCAAATAAACATCTTTCGCGAAAGATTATCCCTCCTCTTCGTTTTTTGATGACTAAAAACAGCTCAAAAGAAACAAACCTTAGAACTGAACACAATAAAAATATAATCATTTGTAATAAGCAAAGATTTTGAAAAACTGAGTTGTAAAAAAGGTAATGATACCGAAGGCACTTCATTTCTGTAGAGTGAGAAAATACACCGAGCCGTGATGCGAATTATATGACAGAAATCTTGTATAAGGGTTTTCATAATCGCATGCTATACCATATTTTAACTACGCTTGATCTGCTTCTGATAAACTCTTGTCTTAGCTTACTTCACTGGGTAGATAGGCCAAACCGATGCGGTTTGCAGCAAATTCGTCAACCACCCAAACTAATTGAAGTCCAGTGCGGGACTGCAACCAACTACGATCCCAATTCGCCCCAAAACCCGAATGTTGTTCGGTTATCCCACCACCGTTCACATCATCGGCTACCCACTACAAAAAGGTAAATCTCAACCAGTTGTAGCAGCTGATCGAGGGATGAAAATTGCTGTGAAAGATTCAGGATTGATATGTTACAGTAAACATTATTTTCAAAACAACCATTTCTTATTAAAGGAAGCATTGACATGCAACCAGAACCATTGGTTAAGAGAGCCAAAAAATTCTGGAAACCTTCAAATCGATGTACGTAATACAATAACAACTGCAGGTAAAATATAACAGCAGAAGTAGAAGGGATGAATTGTTGTGTTCTTGTTGTGCATTGCAAAACAAATTGATAATAGTAAAGTGCAAAGTTTATATTCCAAAGAAGGGTGAGTTCATTCATCAGCTAAGGAGTTCAAGATTGTAGATCACAGAAAAAAGGTGGGGAGGCTACCGTGAAGTGAGAACGTATTGCTTCCTTACATACAACTGTTTTCGACATTCACTGTCATAAACAATACTGTACCTCGCGGAAATTCTTTAGTGCGAACTCTGCAAAGCGTAATTGGAAAGGAGTAAATCCAGGAATCATGGCACCCTATTCATCTGATTCGCTTTCTGAAGAACGCAAAGCATACTCGGACACCCACGCATCGCCAAATTCATAGCCTCAGACGAACGCAAAATTATGTTATCTGTCCTCTTTTTGAGGTCACTAGGATGGTTCAAATAGGACATAAAAACGTTACCTACGACCATTTTCCTGCAATTTCACTGGGTTTGATAATTTTATCTTTTGACAAAAACAAACACTGGTGGTTTGAAAGTTGTGTATTCATGTTTTGAAACGAAAAAAATGGATCCGACAGAAAATGAATGCTAATAAGTTGTACGCACTGCTCTGGGGAACCAAAACACAAATAGTGTGTACTTTAAGGCAGCAACGGTTATCAGACAAAGATAACCCTGGATTAGCTGATAGAGTGCACTAACAAGAATGGGTGTCATTTGAGGTTACTTTTCGATAGCGTCAGTAGGCATAAAGCGAAAAATCTGTCCGTAATGTTTACTGCCACGACTGATATAGGGACATCAGGCTGAGGAAGGTAAGGTGAGAAAAACAAAATTGTGAGATTTGCAAAAGCAACACTAGTTAGCACAGTGGCAGAGCAGCTGGTTGGTCGCTGCTCGAATGAAAATATGATAAACTCTCTGAGCCCATTTGAACTGTTTGATGATGAGATTGTTGTTTTGCTACTTACCTCCGGGCTAAGGTGATTTACTTTCGGAGAGATATTCAAAGTTGAAGATGCTAGGAAAACGGCTTTGTTGCTACGCAAGAAATGCCGATTTTCTTGTGAGATGCAAGATTAGTCGCGTTCGGAGCTCTAACTGTAAAGATCACTTGACAAACAAACCTTGTTTTTCTTAATCAAGAGCGACCATAATTCTAGAATAAAATTTCCCATTGAGGATTCAGAAATTCCACAGATTTAAAACATTACCAGAATATTTCCAAACGCTTTTCGAAGACAAAAATCAATCATCCTTGCCCGTTATAAACCAAATAAGCCCTATTTGGATTAAATGGGGTTTCTCATTCTGTCCTATCATCCATGAAGCTGATTGTCCGAAACAAATGGAATTTGTTTCCGGTTCACCAGATTTTACAAGTTCGATGGAGTGTTTGCCGAAAACAAGATTGTTCTCACTAATCCACGGGTATGTAACTAAGACGTTTTGTAGAGTTATTAGAAAAACTCTGCCCATGTAATCGCAGCCCCGCGAAGACGCATACCCGCAGATGAGCAAAAAGTAAACCACAAAGCGAACCAAACGAAAGGTTTTAGTTTTGTATGTGTGCAAACCATTTAATGTTGTGATGAGGTCTTCATAACAGTTCACTCCGCTCGACTACAATACAACAAAGCGAAACATTTTGTGCGGTATACAATAGATTTCTAAACCAATGCACTTTTTATAGGCCATTTGGAAGGTCACGCGTAACGTGTATGTGCGTGGAAGCAAGCAAAATGTCGACCATACGCAAAGCCGACTAAATTGCACAATGGAACGCGACATGTGATCAGGTGAAACTGCGGAGCTGGGCGTGAACAAATGTGGGAATGAAGAAATTGGTCCCAGTATTTATAAAAGATTACATGACGAATAACAGAGAGGAAGTGCAAATAACAAAGAACGTTTTGTTTTTAAAAAATTGCATCTGACTCATAAATGTTTGCCTCAGCGAAGAATCCATTGATAGTTGCTTCCATATATACTATAATCTAACAAGTTGAAAACCTTGAATCAAGACCAAACGAGAAGACATATTGTCGCATTATATATTTGTTGACAGACAGATAGCCACCGTAGGTTTCAAGTAGTAATGAAAATATGTGTAGTAATGAGCAACCAAGTCATTCAAGTCTTACCTTGTAGAGAACAAAACCGATTGAAGCTAGCCTGGGTGCGCGATGACGTAAGCGTCGTCGATCGGCCTGCATTAGGGCCACAATCACAGTCGCTAGCCCATCGGGATCGTTGGGATCCGGGCTACCGATAGTTAGCCGAAATTGCGGGTTAGCCCAATGGCTAGCACGGATATAAGGTCGTCCACCACAGGAGACACCACGAAGCCATTGACCGCGGAGATGCGCTGCGTGCAAATCACCCATAGGCTGCGTCCCAGTTGGTGATGTCGGTGTAGGCGGAGGCGGCTCGGTTAGATGGCAAATATCCAAGTAGTCGAAATTGGTAATAAAATCTTCTAGGGACATCCTTAATGCAAAGCAGATGAAGAAATATTTCCAATAACAAATTTCATGATGTCTTCTGCTAATATTACATTGGTTTCAAATTCGATTTCTTACCAGAACTCATCTTCCGATTTTACTAGGCCAACTTTAGCCCGATCAGATGGAGGTAAGCTGAGCCACTCAGTAGAACCATCGGACCAAGCACCAGCCCAACCAACACGCACAGATGGCCACAAATTTCTCAGCCGCACAAGCCGCACCAATCGACTTCCGGAAGCATCAGTCAGACGAAGTTTGCGACAATCAGTCAGACCAAATGCTTGTCCGGGAACAAAACCAACTGGGATGATAAAACCCGGTCCGGGAATTCCTTTGGTCTGTGAAGAAAACAAATTAGGAGTGTATAAATCCGCCAATTATATGGATTGAGTGAATAATTGCAAGAAAAACGTTTTTGTACTAGATGATAAATGAATGAGTGATTCCCGGAAATTATTTGATTATTTTATGTTCCAGAAATAGATTGGCATTCAAATTGTCAGTCACTAAGGCACCTCAGCTACAGGTACAATAGTTTGTGTACCTTAACTGTAATCCCGTAAGTGACAACTTGCGTCGCCGTGCAGGTTCTCTGTAAAAGTTAACTATCGGATAGCTTTTCCGGACAACCCTTTCATGGCGTAAAATGATTCGTACTATTGGCCGCTTGTTGCAAACACGTAGATTACCTGATTGATGATAACGGTAAAAGAGCTACGGTTAAAACGATGGCGCGGAACAAACGAAAAGTCAATTAGGAACCAACAGATACCACACTCGTAGGTGTTTTGATCAGGCACGAAAATGAAAATCAGCATCTAGGTAAATGTGCATTGTATTCTAATAGAATTACTTGGAACTTCATACTCTGAGTACAAAGTACAATACGGCAAGTGTCACCGGCTTGAATTCTTTGTGTAATTATCTGAAAAAATCGAGACCCGTCCTCTATTTTCATAGAGACGCTAAAACTTGTGCTCATTTACTTTCTGATGTTTCAACTTTATCCTTAAAACTAAAATCAAATGTTTCACTATCTACGTTACGGACATTCAACACATCGGTCACAGGTCGCAGTCCGAAACTGAAAGTTAAAGGTTTAAAAGCAAATCAAAGAGGGTTATGAGCATCAGGAAGGGGATCCTCCGGCCACGAAGAACTCTTGGAAGCATTCAATGGTGCTGATGTGCAAACAGGTAGCCAACACTTGGAAAACCCTTCCTTTGAGTTTAGTGTTATTGGGACAGCTTTACAGCAATAAAGGATACATCCAGAAGACATAAATAAACAAAACAACTCAGAAATAGATTCACGAGTTGTTTGGTACACACTTTGAACAGAAAGGGAGATGATGAATCAAGGCCATACCTGGTTAGACTAAAATTTTCTTCAGCACCTGTAAAACTTCTATTGGAGAAACAGAGTGATTATCTTTAGCGTGAAACTCTGAGCTGCTTCAGTGCTGGCCATATATTACAACAGTACTTTTTGTCTGCCAGAAAGGCTTCAATAGACCTCCGATTCAGAAGCTATATGCTATTATCCGTTGAAATAATACTTTTCAATATATTTTGCAATAGGCACGTAGCATGCAAAAATATAATTATGACAATTTTGATAATAACAGCAATGGTGGTGTGATGGGAAGCACCATGCAATGAATGAACGAATCAAACTGCAGCAAGGTGATATAAAACCAAGAACATCTGATCTGAGAGAATTATTTTTCGCGGGTTCATCAAACTGAAACGATTAGAAAGGAAACCAGAGCTCCTGTAAACTGTAAGCAACCCATAATGAATACCTTCATTCAACGAAGACCAGGATCATAGAGAAGTACTCTAAGACGTAGCTAAGTTTGGTCAACAATTTCGTTGCCCTAGTGACAAGTTGGGCTCCAGATGGGAATGGATGACTAAATTACTAGAAATCCCTAGAACGCCTTGGCGAGAAGGCAACCAGTGAGATGGAATAGTCATCGCACCTGCCCGTAAAAGGAAAGTGGGCAGTGCAACAGCCAAGGAAAGTGGGAGGAAACCTACAATGACTGCGGAATAATTTATTACCCTTGTCTCAAACATACTTAAAAATAAAAGCGTGATGTCTATTTCCCTAGAGCAAACATCAATACTACGCGGGTAATTAGTTCTCAAATGCTGCAAGATATTTTCCTAATACTTGGCGCGAAGGAGGTAGCTAACAAGTTACGATGTTCCAGCCTACCATCAGAAACACTCTTATGCACTTTATTTTTTATTAAACAAATCACAGTGATAAATTTTAGAAGGGGCGAACGGCATACTCACGAGAATCCAGTGTTCACTTATTACGAACTGGCGATTTATGATCAAGCTCTAATATTTGAGACATATTTCGTTTATAACTCAAACAGCCGTAAAAATGGAGCTTTGACATAACGAAAAATAGATATGGCAAGCCAAATCAACTGAAAGGAACAGCAAGGAAAATAACCAGCAATTTAGTTTTGACACTAATGAATTGACACTGATGTCAGGCGTGCACTCTTATCTTGGATAGCATTTTCCTAAAGTAGGCTAGTTCCTCTCAGACGGTTAATATGCCAATTTAACGCGTGTCAATAGTAAGCAGAAAGCTCATACACATTAGAGATTACATTAAAGAGGCATTGTTATTGGGAAACTCCAGTGGCTGATAGAAAAATGCTCTTGAATTACTAAAAGTATAAGCCATAATAAGAGAACAAAACTGTTAGGCATACGAGTGCACCGCTTCAATCACCGTAGAGCGAGTGACGCTTTCCAGGTTTGAAGTACAGGTATCTATCTCAACAAGTAATCATTTGAACGGGTCCTTTAGATTGGAAAAAAATGTTTTCTTCAATTTATCAGCCTAGCGTTTTCGTTAAGGACAAATCTATACAGCCTAAGACAATCTCATTTGTCCTGTTCTCAGTTTACCTGGACTTAGTTATGTTATTTTACTCGAAGGAGAAAATTTTCATATCATGAATGCATGCGTGCGGTTAATTACACCGAAAACATATAGTAGTGAATTGGGATTAGAACATGACCAGAAATCGGTGGATCAGTTGCATTTTTCGATTTGCGTTTCCAGACGAAAACTATCGTTTTTTGCTTAATCTGTTATCAAGTAAAATTTAGCACAGATCACTGAATATGCTCCTGAATAAACTTCATGAAGATGAAGAAAAACCTTCCTGGAGTATTGAGCACATTCGATTTGGCTTTATTTTTATTCAGTAGAGTATAATTGGTTTTCAAAAAGCTGGATGACACCTATCAAGGTTCCCAAAGACGATCAGGTGTTGGGAGTACAAACTGGAAGCCGCGGTAAGACTCGAACAAAAAAACTACAATAAAATGCGCTGGGGAACTGTGAAGAGATCATGGAATAAGTTAGTGCATTATGTAATTTCAAGACAAACGGAGATAGATCGCGGCAGAGAAAAGTTAAATTCAGTATAAGAACAAATGTTTTATACTGGGAAACAGGCCAAAGGAGTGATTTAGCTCAAAGTTAGTCCAATGGAAGCGAAAATCTACAAGAAAGTCCTGGAATAAAGGACATGAAATTATTCGATAAAAACAGTGAGCCAAAGAAATGGCCTCTAACAATAAGAATTACAGATGCTTCATAAACTTTAAGAATGCTTTATCATGAACTCGTTATTTTGACGTATTCAGCATTCCCAGCAATTAACCAACACTGCGCAGTTATTCTTATTCCAGTGAACAACTGACTGTGTAACCGGTTCAGACCCAGTTCCACCCTTAATAATTCCGATTTACGGTGCTCTTGGGATTGATCTGGTGAATACTTTCGTATGTACGTATCGTGTGTGGCTCAATTGGTTAAAGGCAGCGCAGCAAACATTTTGGCCCGGCCAAATCCGTTACTAACTATCAGTTAGACACTGGTTTCTATAAACGAGAATGTATTTTTCCAAGTACTTAAACTGCTATGAATCAAGTGGTAGAGGACAAAAAGCCAAGCGGCTCCGGAAAACATCAGATCAAAAAATCAGCTCCGTGGTGCTCTGAACCATGAACACTCTTCACCAACTCCTCGTCATCCGGTCAATTTTCGCGGCTCGCATTTCCCCACGCACCACAACACAACCATATAAAATCTCGAACTAATGAACTTTCATTTTACAAATAGCTTAAGCACCAGTAAGCTTTTGCCATCTATTAATTCCATCAAAATATGCATGGAAATTATTGGAATGGAATAGTTAATCTCCATTATTTGTAATTAATTTAGTAGATAACACAACAAACGTCTTTGACTGGGATAGTAACTATTCAGATGTTCTGAATAAATTGGAGCAACAAAACAAAAATTGATACAAACAACGTTCCTTTTTATTCGTGTTAGTACCATGCTTTCGGTCGAAAACACAAATTATACAGCAATAAATTACACTGGTAAACATCACAAAGTAGTGAACAAATGAAATACACTTTCAATCTATGATTGAACATGCATTCGAGGAATACCTTCACACACACAATTCTTCCCGGGGCAAGTAACAGAAGAAATTTTTCGACCAGTAACTATGCATTTTCGTGCAACGGTTTTGGTTACTGTTTTTTGGCTGCCCATTTGGATGAAGAAGTAAGCGGAAGATTGGAATGTTAAAAGCAGTATCAAAGGAGAATAGAGAATTCTGGTTAACTAAGGTTAAAATGAGAAAAAGAAGAGATGCACAAACTTCACTGTTTACGACTCGCAGCCGTATAAACCAGTTTTTCTAACCATCAATTAGTATAATCTCTAGGAGTTCCGTCCCGGGAGTCTAACGCCAGTTATGTGAGCAAGTCTCCTGATTAGATCCTACCATCATGCCAGTTCTTATTTTGATTGCTGTTGACCTTTTCCACCCATAAACCTCGGAAAACGTCTAACGACAGGATTATCTCCTTGCTGACATTCGTAACATGCTCAACCAACGTGACTTGTGGAAGTTGATCACCTGCCCCAGAGGGTGAATGTAATTACCAAAACGCTCCGCCTAACCCCAACACTGCTTGTCCGATCTCCCCATCAAACAGTGGTTTTCGATCACTGTCTTCAGTAAAGCCCGTGAAGCCCAGGTTGCGGAAAGTGTCCGTTGGACAATTGTTTAGCTGTATAAGTTGGTTATAGTAACATGCATGTAGTTTAAGAACAGACTCGCTGCTTTTTTAAAGTAGCAAGGTGAAACTGGACCGGTTTCTGTAAGTCATTGTGATTGGAATGAAAGACATAATAACCAATTACACTGATTTGCTGATGTGATGCTTTTGTACGTAGCCCCACATTACAGTGTAGACCGGTGTATACAAAACAAATTCATGAAACTGGAGATGTTACTGATCCGAATCTGAGTCATATGCTCATATGGGCGGCCAAAAGACAGCAACCAAAACCGGCGCTCGAATATGCGTGGTTAATGGTTGTTCAAACTTAACTGAAACATATGGTTTTCTGCCTAATGATTACTTTCGTTCAACAATAACAGATGACCAGAAGACAAATCAACCGAGCGCTGACCATTTGTAAATGTTCGTGATATCACTTTTGCAATGAACATGATAAATTTCAGAGGGTGAGTGTTTAAATTAGCTCATTCTGTTTTTCACAAGCACCAGGCACTGCTGATGATGTTCGACGTGGGTTTTACTTCTTGGAAGATCGTTAATTTCCCACTGTTTCTATGCATTTTATTGTGATAGAAATGTTTGTGATTACCAACAAAGAGCCCTGGATAGCAGTTTCGTCCTGTTTGGGACTGATCAGCAGTTCGTTGATCATCACAAACATTTCCGTCGCATTAAAATGATACATTTCAGTTTTACCTGCCAGAACGTAGCGTTAATGATCGAAGCAATACCCACAATTACTTCTGATAGACCGCTTCAGTATTGTCTCAGGTATGCATCAAATAAAGACACTCGTTCCCGGAAAAGCCCTAATACTACCAGTATTTATTCTTAATGAAGCCCAGTATCCATCCAAAATACCAAACTTTGAACCAAGTCACTTGTCCAACCGCGTGGATGCACACGAAGGAAGTAAACGCAACGCTAGCTGACTGCTCTTCTTTTTCCTTTAAGCCTAGAGTTGCCTTCACCTCCATCTCCCTTACGATATACATCGTGTAAAGATAATTTGAAAAACAGTCTCATCAGCTACCTGGTGGTCGAGTAGATGGTATGCTTACATCCTACTTATGGAGTTTAGCGTCCGTTCCCCAGTTGGGTAGTTAGACTTGCAGTGCTGAAGAGAACCAATCACGTGGAAACAGTTGTACAATGCTTTCCAGCTTTTCAGTTCACGCTTTAGTTGCTGTATACATGACGAAATCAACTATATAATTGGATCAAATCCTCCACTACTCTCACGCTTATGAAACATTCCAACCGGTCCTACAAAGATCTGAAGTCAGAGGGGTTCAGTCTATCCGAGTAGTGCATTGTCCGTTGCGAGAACGAATATTTAGCCGGTGAGAGGCCATATTGTTAATTTTCCCAACAGTGGTGTTGTTTTTCACACGGTGGTTGAAATGGTTTGTGTTATGTAGACTAATCTAGTGCAAGAAAACAGTAATTGATTGTCATCATGCTGTAGTGTGCTGGCTGATTTGAACCTTCCGCTGGTGGCTTTGGTGAGATGGTCCATGTTGAGAGGTGTGAGATTGCTGATGTTGTCTAAATAGTGATAGTTATAATCATGAAATACTTTCAAGACAGTAAGTAGTATTTGGAATTTCCTATCACCTCATGTTATTTATGCGTCAACACAATCGATTCTTTGAAACGGAGTTTCGACACCCATATAAAGGTACAGTAAACCTTTGTGACATTACTCATCTCTCATTGATCAGTTGATCAATCCCGTTATGCAAAAGCACCTGTAGTACAAAAAAAGCAAGCGTTTGCAAGTATTTCCCATAATAAAACCAACTTCGGATTCAGCGAAACTCACTCTTCTAAATTTCAACTTTATTAAGATTCTGATCTTATAGGGTTCCTGAAGTTGTGTGATCTGACTGCACTGTAGCTAATTAAACCTTCTTTGTGAAAAATCACTGTTAAGTTTTCATTCCCTACAGATGAATTTAACTAGTAGAATAACGCTTTAAATATACCGTCATAACTTGGTTTGGCTGAGATCACCTCAGGTGATCCAGGTTTGGGGTTTGGTAAATTTCATGCATAAATCTATTTGCCCTTATAAATAACGTTTTTGTATGAGTTTTGTACTATGTGATTTGACTATTTAGTGCAACTTTATTTGCATGAGTTGTGAACGCTTATACCCTTACACTTCAGTGAATTTCGTCGTTTATGGAGCAAACTAGGCAGGAACTGAAAACCTGGGAAGCACTGTAAACTTGATTGCACTTGATTGGGTCTCATCAGCCGTGTAAATTCAGCAATCCANTGAAAATCGAACCCGCAGACTCACAGGTACAACGCAAGAATACTGTCCAATTGACTACCGCGTAGCAAATCCAATCCGGTTGCCATTTCATGATACAACCCAACCCATCTTTGCTAAATTGGTGCCGGCATCAAATTTGGACATAATTATTATACTGTAGAAACCAGGGTTTTATCTATCGCTACTCCTGCTAATCGGAAAACTTTTAATTATCAATCAGGAATACACTAGCTCTCTGTCTCCATCTTAGCTCTGTTTTACAATATATTATTGGTCGACATTTCACATGCTTCCTTTGTTACGTCCAATTTCGAGTGGTTTCAAGGGAAAACAGCAAGCATAAATTCTAAGGTGAGGATCGCATACTATTTTGTGCGTTCACACTGGTGTGAGTTAAAAACTGTGAGCACTGAATAAATGCACAACTTCGGTGTGTTTCCGCTCCTGGTAGTTATATGCAGTCACGTGGTTTTGCGCAAACCACGTGTTCACTCCCCTGATTTTGGCGATACACCCCTGTCTGACCTAACCTTAAAAACGAAATCGTCTGTAGGGGGAGAGAGCACAGAACGCCCCCGGTATATATTTTTAACCACACGGTTCTACTGTGCAAAAATTACATGCGTCAAATTTCCCAAGAGGCTCTCTGATTCGCGATCGATGGAATCTGTGTTGTCTTGCATGTTGTTGTCAGTCCACAAAGCGGTGTGAAAGGATGCAGCAAACAGGGAGTCATAGGGTTATTCGAGAATGCAATGGGGAGCGATTAATCCGATAATACATGGGTGAATGAGTTCTTGGAGTCGAGAGAATGATAGTGAGATCCATTTCTGTACCTGGTTTCATTGCTTGTCCTCAAAGGTGTAAGAGCCCCATAGTGCGTACCTAAACACTTCGATTAATAAGCTACGTACAAGAGTATCTGCATGAAACAAATCACAATATGGATGTGACTCATGTCGAATATCGTTCGCTGGCGTTTACTACGGATCGAAATTTGTCTCACCGGTCATCCACCCAATGTGGGATCGAAAATAGTTTGTACATTTATTCCAGCTCTCTGAAATCACCCCGCAAACCTCACAACATCCAGAAACATCAAGAATATTGGATGAACAAGCATTTCCGTAAGCATCATACCGTATTTCAAGTCAGGACTTAAATCTAACCATGTATGAAAGTTTTTCCTTTTCTCACTATTTTGTTTTTCTTTTCCAATATAATTGGTGCGACTGGGAATCACTGAAAACGAACTTGCTTGCTCTTCTGTATTGTTTAACATGCTTTCTATTGAGGTACTTTATGCAACGAGCGTTCACAAATCGAGCGCAATAAAGCCATTTTACGTAGTTTGCATTTGTTCCAATCAATAAAAGCACCATTCCTGAAGGGTAGATTCTGATATCGTTTGTTTTCGAATCATTAAAATTACTTTCATGAATGTAAAGTTTACCAAAAAGCAGGCAAACTTACTTTGATTCTTGCCGTAATTAGACTACGCCTGTCAAACGCTTTGATCAGGATATCATCCAAATCTGGCGGCGGTTGAATTCCTTGCTCTTCAGCAGCTGGGAGTGTATACGACTCGGTAAGGCCACCGGTCAGATCATCCATTGCATCGCCAACCAAGCCCACATTCAGTGCCTCGTAGGATCCATTCAATCTAGAATAGAGAACTGACAAAATTGATAACAAACCAGAACAGACAGCGGTAGATCATCATTGTTCTCAAAACCTGTGTCGGTCCTGTATTGAAGTTCTCTCTGACCGAGAGCAGATGCAGTTCAAACCATACAACCATTGACCTTGCACCGCCACAGGTCGGTTGTCTATGGTTTCTTCAATACAGGAATAAAGCAAAAAACTAGAATGCCCGGAAGCAGTATAAATAGGAAGATAAAAAATTCAGACAGATCAAGGTTTCGACGAAACTGAGCACAACACTTCTGCCTGAAATTTAGAATTGTGAAGGATGCGAGCGCATTTTTTTTAAATAGATTGACAGCAGTACCCGGTTCGTGATGAGACGCTTTACCTTATTTTGCGACAAAAGTACATCAAGCTGTTCGTGAAAATAGAATGATGTTTATGATTGAATACAAGAGAACACACTGAAACGTTTATTGGAACTTGGGAAAATTGTTGCCAATAAAAATGACAGTCGATAACGATCAAGCGATAAAGCCCACTAAATTATTGCCCGCAGGACGTGCTCCTCAATCCCGTCACAACCACCTGACTTTACCTGTATGTTGCACGTCAGTCCACTATTCCCACCTGAAAGTGTGTCATTGTATATTCAAAAAAGGAAAAGAGAATATTGGCTTACTGATATGATGATCAACACTCCAAGGATTTCTACTATACTCTGTTTGAGTACAGTACATCATTTATGCAGCTGAAACTGGTGTGCCACAAAGCGAGTTGCTGCTTATCATACACAACCTGATATCCTAAAATTATTCAACAAAATAAATCACGAACAAAGAGACAGAAAATACTCGATTAAGCCAGATCAAGGAAAAATCGAGTCAATGCTTCCATCCATAGAAACAAATCTACTAAAATGTCAGGCTGAAACGTGTTCTTTGTGGTTCAGTTGTTTTTTCCCGTGTTCGTTTTGGAATAAAAGAGTCTTTGTCCTTGTTTTCCTTTATCAATGATCTGTCACAAATGAATTTTACTTAGAAAAAATTCGTTCTAATATAAGACTAGACAACATCGATCGATAGTATTGATGAGGTTGATGCAGGACATTTTTGTCCTCGCAGATACGAACTTATTGTGAGGAAGAACGTGCGTGGCTGAACGTTATTATTAAAATCACGATTGTTGGTGATTCTCTTATTTTACTCAAGCTCCACTGGGAGAAAATAATTCACCTCAGAGGCGACTGAGGGGCACTGGTTGCCAGCAACTGGAAACCTATTTGAATTAGCACAAATTCCATTAACTATGCGGTCTACTCTCGCTCTTCTCTTTCATCCATTGACCTCTCGTGGGGAAATATCGGTTCTATACAGCATAAAAATAGAGATGTGAGACTGTATTACGCAACAGTTATTCATAAACTTATCAACAAAGTTCAGATAATCCTTCTTTTTCTGTTTTCATGAAAGCAGGTGGCTAACCGAGTACAGATAACGAGCTAATGTCACTAAAAAGGTATACTTTGCTTTGAATATATACATCCCAATTCAGATGTTTAACAGATTTTTTCCCAGGTTATTTATTTGTTCTAATTATTGGATGCATAACTTATACTGATCAAGCTACCAGAATAAAACAATTGTACCAGCTGGCCAAGCCTAAGGATCAGATAAAATTATTAATAATAAGCAGTATGTGGAAATGTGAACACCGTCAAACGCTTTTCAGGGCATCTGAGAGGTTGCTTTTCATTAGGAGTAACTGAAAAAACACTTAAAATATATTTTGAGAGAAATGCATGGTTTCAACCGAGCGATGGTTAGAAATCGCTTAATCAAGAAGAAAAACATCTGCTGTTCGAGACCAAAACGATCTGATAAAACCCACGGAGTATTTGAATTTCACGAATATGATGTCAATTTTTATGACCATTGAAAACAGTATTCATTTGGAAATAGCGCCACGGACATGCTGCAAGGTTGTACTTTGTCCGATCTGAATTGTGCAGTTGACATATTACTTTCTGAACCAACAAGATATACTTACATTAGAAGCATTTATTAATGACTTGACTGTCAAAGCAGCTAACATTGGTCGGTTTTGAGGAAATCTTGACAAGATTCCCTAAACTATTATCCAAACTTTTGCTCGTCCGGCTTCCCCACCAAATTTGTGCAATCCGGCGCGGAGAGCGGTGAGATACGCATGAACAAATAGATTACTACAGCGTGCGATGTTTCCTGAGTTTGATGATAGGCGGAAAACGTTAACAATAATCAAAGTAAGAACTGGCACGAAGGTAAGATCTAAACATGAGACTTGCTCACATAGGTCATGGTAGGCTCCATGGATGGAGGTCCTGGGCAACACAGTAATCGATGGGTACAGAATCTGGGTTATACAGCTACGTGTCGCAAACAGTGGCATACGTGCGTTTCCTCAATTTCTTTCCAACCTTAGTCAACGGGAATTCTCTATTTTTTACCTTGACCCTGCTCTCAATATCCTAATCTTTCGTCTGCTTTTTTCATCCAAATGGGCAGCAAAGAAACAGCAGTCAAAACCGTTGCACGAAAATGCATGGTTAATGGTGGCAAAAACTGAACTGAGCTGATAAGGCTGTTTCACTTTGGCCATATACAAATTGCCTTGGTCATCTTGGCTTTGGTATCAAGGGTTTATGATTCCATTAAAAATATTTTGAATGTGATTATCCTAGATAACGGAAAAGCGAATGAGATCGTTCCATTATGGGCAGAATTTCACGGTTAAATCACAAAACTCAGGGTAAGAGAGGTTATACCGGAGTTTTGACAACTCCGCTCTGCAATGAACTTAGGACCATTCTGAACCGAATAGCTCACCAATCAACAAAGTTGTTTGAGATCAGTTAAAATGTAAAATGGGCTCTTATATTTGAAACTTTATTAAAACCACTTGAATCGGCCTGTTCGTAGTTGCACTTATATCTACACACCAGTAAAAATCGTTT